ACAGTATTTCAAGAAAAGTCAGGAAAGAGAAAGGCAGGGAAAAAAGACTTACTCTTCCTGATATGAAACTGTACTGTGCCTATCCCTGTTCGCTTTCAGAGAGCAACAAGACAAAGAGATAAGCCACAGTATTATTTCTTTTTAGATGGGCAGTTTACCCATGTCCCCAAGATGGAACAGTACCAATCTCAAACTAACTTTTCTAACTAGGCTCAGATGTTTGGCAAAGAACTAGGAGGCAGTATGACTGGGAAAGTTAAGAGAAGGAGGAAAGAAAGGAAAACAGAAGCAGAGATAATGGGAAAGCAAATCCTGTAAGGACCTGCAGGCCATTGCAGGGATTTTGGTTTTATAGTAAGATACAAAGTCTTTGGGTTTGAAAAGAGGAGGGGCAAGATCTGACTAACTTTTAATAGGACCACTCTAGCTTTGGTATGGATGGTAGACCCTTAAGGAGAAGGTAAACATAGGATAACCAGGTGGAGACTATTGCAAAAATTTACATCAAGATGATGTTGGCTTGGTGTCCGTGAAGGTGGTGAGAAGTGATCAAATTCTGGATATACTCTGAGGGTAAAGGCAACAGAATTTGCTGCTGCACTGGAATGGGAATGGAAAGAAAAAGAGAAGCAGACAAAGACTCCAAGGATTTTGTTTGATGCACTGGAAGGATGGAAGAGCCATCAACTGAGATGGAGAAGACTTTGGAGGAGTTAGTTTGGGAGAAAAGACCAGGGCTTTGGTTTTAGACCAGTTAAATTTAAGCTACCTATTAAGACATCCAAATAGAGATACTGATTAGAGATAGGATGTGTGACCCTGGAGTTCAGGGGAGAGGCACACTGGCAAAAGATACCTGTATTTCTTTGAATCTAAGATGACTTAATACTGGTACTTTCTTGATTTTTTTCAGGAACTGTCAAAAGAAAACTTCGCACAGAACTGCCACCTCGCTGACAGTGACAGATGCCCCCTGTTTCTAAAACATACTCTCTCAACTTTGGCACAAATTTGGGTCAGATAATTCTTTGCTGTGGTGGCTAACCTGTATGTACATTGTAGGGTTTTACCAGTACCCTTGGCCTCTACCCACTAGATGTCAGTAGCACCCTTTTATCAGTGACAACCAAAAATGTCTCCAAACACTGCTGAATGTCCCCTGGGGGGCAAAATAGCTCCCAGTTGAGAACCACTGTTTTAGAGGAATTAAAATGTGAGGGAAAGGTGTGTCTTAGATAAATGAAATAGGGTATTAAAATGCGGGAGTTGTCAGTGCTTAAGCTCACAAGAGTGGATACAGATAGAAAAGGAGTCAGGATTGTACCTTGGGGCACTCCAATGTCAAGAGACTGCAGACAGGAAATGGAGATTATGTTAGATATGGCTGAGTGGTAACCATCTTAGTGGGCCCAAGGAAAGCTGAATGTTAAGCTAGCACTGGAGAAAAGCAGAGGGGCACCCCAATGTACATCATGTAACCTCAAAAGTCTCCAGAAGCAATAGAAGTGATGGTGGGAATGAAAGCAGAAGGACTGACTGGTTGAAAGCATACTTAAGCAGTTCATTAACAGATTCCTTCCTTTACTCACAGACCAACAGTGGTCTCAGGTTCAGACTGACAGTCACTCACAGGATCCAACAGACCACAGCTTGGCACCAAGTTCACTTAGTTCTACAGAAAGACAAAGTGCGCTAGCATGAGACATGTTATCTTTAAAAAGGCCACCAGGAGCCCTTTCTGGACCCACCATTCTAAGGGACAGAAATCATGTAGGTAAGTACAGAAATCACCCTGGCTTAGGGAAACTTCATACTCCACAAGAACCAGCAGTACATTTTAACAGCCAATGAGTGTAGGTTCCAGGAACCCTCGAGGGATGTATTTATGTTCACTTACAAAACTGATAAACTTCACACCAGGAAACAAAGGTCTGTGTCTATTCATAGGCTTCTAAGTTCACTCACAGTCTTCCTGGTCCATATGCACTCACTAATCAGGGGTCAGTTTATAGTAAACAATATTACCTGGAAACATTCTGTATTTATTAGTCAATTTCTAGTAAAAAAAAAAAAAAAAAAAAAAAAAAGCCAGGGGAAGGAAAACACCCAAGATCATTTCCCATGAAGAAAAGGGGTTCAGACTTCTAATAATCCTTTCTATTTTAAAGCAGTGATTCTCAGAGTGGGGACTTTTGCCTTATAGGGAACATATAGCAATGTCTAGAGACATTTCTAGTTGTCACAACTGGGGGAGGTGTGTGTACTACTGGCATCTAGTGGATAAGACAGGTGCCAGCGATGCTGCTAAATTTCCTACAATACACAAGATAGCTCCCACAACAAAGAATTATCTAGCCCAAAATTTTAGTAGTCAATGTTGAGAAATCCTGACCTAAAAGGATTAGATGGAAGTTCATATACTGAACACTGAGGACCACCTTCCATTGCAAGCCTTCTTTCCCAAATGGGCTGCTAAAGCATTCACAGCTGACATACGCCCTCTATGAAGGGGAATGAAAGAATCTTCTCTGGAGAAGCTCACACACCTGAGAGAAAAGACCTAAGAATGATACTAGAGCAAAGACTATGAAAGACGGCAAAGAATTTTAAGATGATATTAATAAACACTAATTTTGTTTGAACTAAGAGACTTAATCAACTGGGGGAAAGTCTGGAGTTGAAACAGTGATAAACAAACAAAAAAACTATTTTTAAATCTCAAGACAATTATTAATTCCAGGTAAGCAAAATGTAATGGCCCAGAAAGAAAATGTAATAAAAGCATATAGTTTAGCACCAAACTGCACGTACGTAGTCATGATAATATAAAAACTGAATAGTAAACCAACCAAAATATACTGGGAGGATAGGGGAGCATGAGAGAAGAAGGGAGAGGAGTTGCCTAAAGAGGAGCTCTCTATATCCTAAACTTCCAGAGTGAGAAGTCAGTAGATACACATACAACTGAAAAATATAAAGAAATAGCAATATAAATATAGATTTAATGACACAGAGGTAAATACCCTGAGAATCAGCTAAAAGAGTAGAAAGTTCTGGCCTCTGAGAGGATATGGCATGTGTGTGCACATGTGTAGCAAAATTTTCTACAAGTCTCACAGAACTATTTGACTCTTTAAACTCCAGACATGCAAAAGTAATTAAAATATTTTTTAGAGATTGTATTTGAGTGTAGGGACAATTTGATACATGGGTTTGGGATCTAGTAAGCCTCAACTGGTTTTCTTGATTTGAAGAACTGACCGAATCCATAAAAAAGTACACCAAACCAAGTTTCAGGTTTGGTTAAACCACTTTTCTACTCATCCAGGAAGACAAAAGAACAGGATGGATAGAGAAGACTTTAACTCCTTTCCTGCTTTATTCCTAGTTTACTCACCAAACTTTATACTGAAGTCTTACACTAAACATTATATTACTGAACACTGGTATCTTTGCCCACGAATACCAGTAGGTCACATCCAAAGAATTTGCTGGGAGAGGACTTTTCACTTTTTACTTTGGTTTTTATTGTGTGAGTATATTTTTACAGATGAGACACACATAAAGATCCTTAATGATTAGTTTAACCTGACCTCATGCATCTTGACCCAACTCAAAATAATCTGATTAGAAAGAAGGAATATCAACATATAAAACACAGAATAACCAAGAAAGTACATCCTTAATAAAATATTGCTCATATCCCAACAGGTAAATCTAAAAGACATAAATGATACATACTATAGAGCTGGTGCTAAATATAATCTCTAGGTATCATAAGAAAGAAAAATTTTTGAGTTCTCTACAGAATATATACCAGATGAGCTTCATTTTAAATAAGTGAAAATTTACTTTTAGATTGTATACTTTTTCTTTACAAGCAATTAAACTCAAATTTATCTCTAAATCACCGTGATTCATGCTTCTTTTATGCTTCACAGTGCCCAGAACTGGGTACATTCATAGGTACAAAGAGTTACTGACTGATGGAAATTAATCTAATGAATTAAATCAATGGGGAAAAATTAATAATGTTGAGTAATAGGTGTAAATTTTAAATTTCTCTATAATTCTTTAAACCTTGTTTTACAAGATTTTACCTTAGTAATGATTATTCATAAATAGATTATTTTACCCTGTGGTAGAGAGGACTGTAAACATAAACTGAACAGAAGGCTGGCTTTATTTTACCCACATTGATCTTTCTTGTTGCTACCCTGTTAACAATATTGCCTTCTTCTTGACAAAAATATTCAATAAAGAATTTACCTACACCAAACTCAGCTTTTGCTAAACTTATTTTAACAAAAATCTCTTCCTTGCCCTCACCCTATCACATCCAGAAGAACTCTGTCCTTTAAAAATCTGTTCACATATATTATCACTTTTGATTATCTGAACCACCATATGAGGATTAGACCATGTACTATTAGCTCCATTTTACTTCTGAGAAACTGATGTTCACAGAGGCTGAATAACTCATTTAAGGTCCTATGGGTAGTGAGTGGCAAAGGGAACACTTGGAACCCAGTTTTCTTGATTCCAAGCCCAGGGGCTCTTTCCACTATAGTACACTGACTCTTTGATAATAAAATGAATCTTGGAGGACTATAGTGGTGGTAGGCATCTTTTTCTTAAGTTGTTGTTTTATAATAAACACACATTAAACAGCAATTACTATTATAACAATTATAATAGCTTTGCAAAATGTCATCAAATATAAACCACACTTCAAGTTTTTTAATCATGTGAAACTGGTATTAATCCAAGGGCTTCAAAAAGTCTAAGAATAAAATGAAGAAACTCTCTTTAATCATTGTGACATTGCTATATCTGGTAATATATTCCTTCTGTAGTGATTTTAAAACTTAGTTCAGAAGGATCCTGACAAATTTTAAATGTAGAAAAAATAAGAAAGTTAACTAAGACTACATTTTAAAAATACCATTTCCACCTTTTTAAAATACTAAAATAGCAGGAAAAAAATTCCATCTACTTACCTCAGTAACTGGCTGCCCCTGATGTGTCAAATCCAGTTCTTGAGGGCGTGTTACTTTATCAATATCCAAAGAATCCATGCTGGAGGTTGCAGAGGTGATGCTGGAACGAGAGGAGTTACTAATAGAGCGCACTTCAGCATCGCTCACTGTGCCTGCTGATGCTGTTCTTCTGTGCTGATTAGTTACTGAGGGCTTAGTATCCTCCAGTACAGATTGCTGAGCAGCCTCATCCATGCTCAAGGAAGCCTGTTCTAACTGTGCAGTGATGTCATCCAGGGAGTAGTTGGCATGTGATGGTTTAGTTATCCTGTTAGATGAAGAAGACAATCCTTTCAAAGTGCCATGTTTTGATGTATGTCGGCTGGCAGGTAATTTCTGAGTGGGTTTTGTTTCTGTGATTTGACGCTTACTATTTCCTGCACCAATACTGCTGAGCTCCTGCTCTATGGAGCAAAGATCGGCCATCAGGGCATCCAGATCCACAGTTTCTCCCTGATTCAGAGCTTCTGCAATGAACAATACATACATGATGTTTCCAGGATAGACTGAATCAGAATTTATATATTCTATTATAAATCTGTCAATGAATGAAGGGGTAAGAAGCAAAGAAATTTATCCTATTGGGCCTAAAGCCTATTGAATATATTATTTCTAAGAGTTTTTTGTTTTAAATTCACAGAGAAATTTTTAGAAGCAAATAGTCCATCTTTTAAGATTTGTAGTAATCAGCGGAGAATAAAATTATGAGATGAAAGATTAAAAATAATGCAAAAATCATATACTGCCCTACGGTTTTAACCACATCTCCCATGCAACTTTTTGCCACAGGCTCTATACAGGCTCTATATCATTAATATGATCAGTGCCATGGTAGAGTTGTTAATACTTAAAGAGCTGAGAGCATAGAGAGAAAAATGCAAAGCCTAAAAAATTACAGATTATGATGTCAATTCCAAATATTAGAAAGTTCATTAGGGAGAATACAATAAATAAAGGCCAGAGGGGCTGATTTAAAACTAATTAACAAGTAACTTCACTGGACTTTATTCCAATGAAAATACAACAGTACAAGTAGTTTTGTCGTGAGGTACCACTTGAGTATGTACTTTGTCAATTATTAATAACTAGAAAACTATTTTAATTATGTTCCAGTTCAGTTTTTTTTGTGATCATGTGAATTAGTAATAAAATGCACAAACCAAGAAATACAAGAACTCACTCAAGTTATGCATGTAGTTTTTATATTGAGCTACTTGGAACTGTAGCTGTGTTGCTTCTGCATTATATAATTTAGTATACTAAATATATATTTAGTATACTATCTTACATTTTACTTCCAATTACATCTTACCATTCAGGTTGTATATGGAGAAGCGATAAGAAAAATTGGCCATATTTGTTTCCTGACGAAGAGGAGATCTTTTTACTGGTTCCATGGGCTTGTCAGAATCCAAACTCTAAAGAAAGTTTAATAAGTCATATTATTTTTAGGCTTCAATTATAAAAAAGATAAATAAAGCTTGCTATTTGATTAGGTGAACTGTCATATAATAGTTAATAAAACCAAAGTCCTTCTAGTTTTAAGGACAAGTATAATTGTTTTTCATATTATTTTGGTTATAGTTTTTCAATTTTTAGATAATATGCTTATTACTTAAGGCATTTAAGACCATCCTGGTTTGGAGCGAATGTCTTTCCAAATACATCAAGTACAGTGACTGAGCTCATTCACTATTAGCTAAATATATGAATATGGGAAAGGTAAGACACAAAATACAAAGGATCAATGCAGAGAATTCTGTTATCTCTTCCCTCAGAGGGATTTGTTTTTGGTTCAGCATAGTCTCATTCTTGGCATGAAGTACCCTGAAGATAAGGCATAATTCTGGACTCAAAATAAGTAGATCCAAGATCAGTTTTTTTCTTTGTATTTGTGTATTTTATTAAAATTTTTTTCATCTTAATTCTAGTTAATTTATACTATATTAATTTCAGGTGTACAATACACTGATTCCACATTCTATACATTATTCAGTGCTCATACCATTCCCCCTGCCCTCTGTTAACCATCAATTTGTTCTCTATAATTTAGAGTCTGTTTTATTGGTGTTTTTTTGTTTTGTTTTGTTTTTGGCTTTCTTTAATGATATACTTGGATCCCTTTCTCTTTCTCTCTCGTTTTTTTTTTTTTTAAGATTTTATTTATTTATTTGACAGAGAGAGAGAGAGAGAGCACAAGCAGGGGGAGCTGCAGGCAGAGGGAGAGGGAGAAGCAGGCTTCTTGCTGAGCAAGGAGCCTGATGCGGGGCTCAATCCCAGGACCCTGGGATCGTGACCTGAGCTGAAGGCAGATGCTAAACTGACTGAGACACCCAGGCGCCCTGGATCCCTTTCTTTTTATTCTTTGCCTATCACTGGTTTTTGATTTGTATTTTAGGTTTGTATATAACATCTGCATATAGCAGTCTGTATTAAGTTGATGGTCACTTAAGTTTGAACCCATTCTTTACTTCTCTCCCCCTCACGATTTAGGTATATGGTACCATACTTTACATCCTTTTATTTTTTGAATCCCTTGACTGATTTTCAGAAACATACTTATTTCACTGCTTTTGTGTTTCCTACTTTTCTTACTCCTATTTATGGTTTTCCACTCAGAGAGTCCCCTTTAATATTTCTTATAGGCCTGCTTAAGGGTCATGAATTCCTTTAACTTTTGTTTGTCTGGGCAACTCTTTATCTCCCCTTCTATTTTGAACGACAGCCTTGCTGGACGGAGTATTCTTGGTTGAGGGTTTTTTCCTTTCAGCACTTTGAACATATCATGCCACTCCCTTCTGGCCTACAAAGTTTCCAGTGAAAAATCAGCTGACAGCCTACGGGGTTTCCCTTGCTTGCAACTGTTTTCTCCTGCTGCTTTTCAAATTCTGTCTTTATCGCTACTTTTTGCAATTTTAATTACTATATATCTTGGTGTGGACCTCCTTGGATTGATTTTGTTGGGGGCTCTTTGTGCCTCCTAGATCTGGATTTTTGTTTCTTTCCCCAGATTTTAAGTTTTCAGCTATTATTTCTTCAAATAAGTTTTCTGCCCCCCTTTCTCTTCTTCTGGGATCCCTAAAATGCAAATGTTACTATATTTGATGGTGTCACTGAGTTCCTGAAGTCTATTTTCATTTTGTATTATTACTTTTTCTCTCTTCTATTCAGCTTGACTGATTTCTATTATTCTGTCCTCCAGGTAACTGATCTGTTCTACTGCTTCTAGTCTACTATTTATTCCATATACTATATCTTACATTTCAGTTATTGGATTCTTCATCTCTGATTGGTTTTTATTTTTTTCTATCTCCAGTGAGTATCTCTATGACCATTACTTTAAATTCTCTATCAGTCATATTATTTACCTCTGTCTTATTTAGCTCTCTTGCTGTGATTGTGTCCTGTTCCAACCCAACTGATTTTTAAAGTTCCAGGTGTTAAGTCCCACTGACTGTAAGAACAAAGGGAAATTCAGCCCTGCTAGTTTTCAAAGCCAAATGTTATGAGGATACACCTTCCCCATGCAGGCTCCCTTGTCTGGGTCTGTTTCTCTCCCCTCTCTGTGCCCAGGATGCCCCTCCCTCGTGTCTTTGTCTTTCCCCCTCTCTTGGATGTGGCTTCTTCTCTACATTTAGCTGTGGCAAGTTTGTTCTCCCAGTCTTTAGGTCATTTTCTGGGTTATTACATTGATGTGGGGGTTATCTAGCTGTATTCATGAGATACAAAGTGAGGTGAGAATCTTCCTACTCTGCCAACTTCCATGGAAGTCCCAAGACCCAAGATCTTAACAGAGAGTGGCTACAACTTCAGACAATGATGGAATATCCTTGTTCTTCTCAAGCTCTATTAAGATAAGGACAAACTGTAACCCAGCTGTGATACTGCCTACAATAAGTCTAGAATTATACTGTACTTCAGGACAGAGTATCTTGTAAGTTATCTCACTACCTTTTTAAATGACACTTGTCCTCTCTAACCTTTCTACAATAAATATAAGATGCTTATAACAAAGAAATTCAGGGAAAAGGTCTGTAGTTAGTGTCTATTTAAATAAATTACAAATATTAAGAATAGCCTTTTAAAACTTTCATTTCTATTTATAATTATCAAATTGATTTCAAATAAAAAAGAATGCTGGATAGACTGTACAATCATCGAATTAGATTACACTGGTGCCTTCTTTATTCATTTGTCTCAAGATAAAAGGAATCCATTCAGATAGTGTCCAACCAGTTTTTAAAGCTATCATATGAAGGGGATCCACAATCATTCACTGCCTTATTTCAAAGTTTCACAAAATAGGAAATTCTTCAACCTCAAATCCTGTTCTTCTGCTGCAATTTAAGTCCTAATGCTTCTCTCAGTGGAAATGAAAAATAATAGGTAGGTTTAATATTTTCTGTAAAATAACTTGAACATAATTGAGGACATATTAAGAGTCTATTTACCAGTTCAAATAAACATACTTGTTATAATTATCTGCTGTGCCCACAGTGCTGGGGGAACAAAAGAAATAGTAAGAAATACTCCTTGACACCAAGAAATTGGTAACCTAGTAGGGTGGTTTTTAAACTTTTTTGGGGGGTGGGGTGGGGTGGGACAATTATCATGAGAATTTGGTAAAAGCTCTGAACCTTCTTCCAGGAAAATGCACACAAACAAAAATACTTTACAATGATTTTAAAAGATTCACCAACCACTTAAAATGTAAACTCAATTTAATATAAAGTTGAAAATCCCATTAACATGGTATGTGTGATATGGGTGGATGCACAGATGACACTTGGTAATAAACTAAAATAACAAAACAAACAAACTTGAGGTTTTAGCCACTAATAAAGTACATAAAATATTTTTTGAAAACATCTGAAGTGTTAAAAAGCAACTTGTTAGCAGTGAGCCACCATTACACAATGGTTAATCTGTTTTGTCTCTAAAGACAGATTTATACAATTAAAAAAAAAAAAACAGTCACAGCATTAGTTTACGAGCCAACATTTTTGGTGAGTGACTCTTCACTTTATATGGCAAGGAATTTAAAATACTGGGAAGAATATAAGTACCAAACCACTAGAAAAGCCATCTGCAGTAAAATAGCATAGAGTTACTATTCCATCTTTTTTAAACCTAAGATCCAATAAAACAAGATTAAAAAAGCTTTGCCATGGTTTTATAATGAAGCCAGAAATGAAATTTTGTACATAGTCTAGAATTATGTAATAGAAAATACTTGCATGTGAGGATATTACTTATGTTGTAAAATGTAGTAAATATTCACATTTATTAAGTTATGGAATAGGATTTGCTAAAATTTAGACTTTTAGATTTTGGGTTTTAAACCTTTTTAGCCAGCAGTCTCAGTTTACAAAACAGATTTTAAATAATCCCTCTAGAGGAACAGAATCTCTTGTCACAGGTATTTTTTTGTTTTTAGACTCCTTTAAATAACCACATAAGATAATACCTTGTGTTCTAGAGTTACCACTCATTTTCCTGTTAACATTTTGGACAATTTCCCTTTATAGCAGTATTTAAAAATGGAACCTATATCCATATCCCTATGTCTACACAGTAAACTTTTAGCACACAGTGATGATTTAAAATCTTCGAACAATTTTTCAAGCACGATTTCTAACCTGAGTGAGTTTGTCTAGCTCCCCTAGCCAGGCTCCAAACATTTTGTCCAGGTCCTGATCTTCCTTATCACTGTCTTCTTCAGCACCATGGTCAATTTCTTCATCTGATAACTGATCCATCTGAAATATAGACATTTGTACAGAATGAAGTTTAAGAGGTTAAACTTGAAAAATTATGCAGCACATGTATATTGTAACTCTCTGGAGTGAAACCTTCCAAACTAGAGATTATATTATGCAAGGAAATTAGAAGTCATTAATGGAGACAGGGTTGACAAATGAGTAGGGATGAGTAATTAAGTCTCAAATTTTTAGGAAATTGTAAAAGAAAAGAATGTATCAGATTTTGACCAGAATCGCAAGTAACAATAATTTTAAAATTGCAGAGCCCTCCCATTAATCAGAGGATATTATAGAAGTGCAGTTTTCTCCACTCACAGATCCTGTTAACACTCCAAAAACCACAAATAATTTCAAGACTTCAATCCAGCACATTATCTCACTTACTCTGTAACAATCTATTTACAAATAAGTATAACTTGCAAAACCTTAGTCCAAAAAGCACTTCAGAGAAGACAAAATTTTTAATCTAGTTTAGTCTGTTGAATTAGTTCCTCCTCTTATAGTGTTCTTTCTACCTTACTTTCTCATCAGTTCTGACAAAATCCAAGGAACCAGAACTGAAATAAACTTCAGAAAACCAGAATTGAAAACTTTAAATTCATATACAAAATTTCCTATATGTGGTGACTTTTCAAGTATAAATACTTGAAAGAAGAGATTATTTTCTTTCTTCTCACTAATAATGTGGTATCTGACATGGAACCTGCATATTGTTTTGTGAAGCGAAGAAAAGATTACACAAAACAAAGTAGAGCAGTGAATGAGCAGATACTTAAAGTTCTTAAAGATTAATCTGATTAATATAAAATATTTCAATATTAAACACAATCTCTGAGAATCTTTTTTAAAATTCCGGTATAGGTAACATACAGTATAATATTAGTTTCAGCCATACATTGTAGTGATCCAGCAATTCCATGCATCACCCAGTGCTCATCACAGCAAGTGCGCTCCTTCATCCCCATCACCTATCTCACCCATCCCCTCACTCACCTCCCCTCTGGTAACTATCAGTTTGTTCTCTATAGCTAAGAGTCTGTTTCTTGGTTTGTCTCTCTCTGAGAAATCTTTAGTAAAGCCTACTACCTTTGCTTAAACCAACATATTCCAAAGTAATTTGACCACAAATCCTTTCCCTTCAACTTGGAATAATACCTATTAACTTTCCCAAGGACACAATGAATATCATCATTCTATATTCCATGCTCTTGATGCACATTTCTGAAACACAAATTTTGTTCCAGTGGATCTAGGCAATATTTGGAATACTACCTATTGGTTTAAACAATTCCTCAGAGATTAAAGATATCCTTAATCTTAAATAAGAATTTGTACATATTACACCTCCAAAGCAACAATCAACAAAAGTAATTGTGATCCTTAAAATGTGGTTTTGAGCTATGTGAGGAATTTAATTATCTAATGGGATGTCATGAAGCTAAATGTTAAACCTTATTTTACTATATAAAATTTTGCAGAATGGGTCAAATAGTGTTGCAAAATCAATCTGAACTGGGACGCTTAGGTGGCTCAGTTAAGCGTCTGCCTTCGGCTCAGGTCATGATCCCAGGGTCCTGGGATGAAGTCCCACATCGGGCTCCTTGCTCAGTGGGAAGCCTGCTTCTTCCTCTGCCTGTCACTCCCCCTGCTTGTGCTCTCTAACAAATAAATAAAATCTTAAAAAAAAAAAAAATCAAACTGAACTTAGTTCTAACGATATGGAAAATCAGATCCAATCCCATTTAATCACTTAAGGGAAATAATTTTCTTAAGCTTAATACTACAAAGGATCACAGTTTATCAATATCTCTAATGTAAACTGTTAATTCTCATTTCTTAATTTCACTCTCAAAGCATGTATAAATCAGGGAATTCTCTTGACAAATGGAAAATATATCCACCAATTCCCCAAATCATACATCTGACTCTTAAAGAGATTTGGTTTTTATAATTCGTTTGTGTTAATACTAGTTGTAGGATTTTTATTCATTAATGAACTATTTACAGAACTATCTCATACTTCATTATTCTACCCAGGAAAACAAAATGTTAGTACAAAAAAAAAACCCCTCATCTGACCAGGTAACTTAATTACTCAAATGATAGTTGCTAGTTTGAGAATACCGAGGAGCAGGAATATCCAGTCTTCATAATGAAGGCCAACAAGCAACAGAACTGGGAATTGTAAAAGTCAACTTCCTCTTCCTCCCTAATCTTTAAAACTAAACACACTGGAATAACCCAGAAGCTAAAATATTCTAGGAGGAATTCTGCTTTGAGATAATGAAACTTATGCCTGCACTTCCCTTTTTTTAAAAAATTTTTATTGTTACGTTAATCACCATATATTACATCATTTGTTTTGGTGTAGTGTTCCATGATTCATTGTTTGTTCATAACACCCAGTGCTCCATGCAGAATGTGCCCTCTTTAATACCCATCACCAGGCTAACCCATCCCCCTACCCCCTCCCTCTAGAACCCTCAGTTTGTTTTTCAGAGTCCATCATCTCTCCTGGTTCGTCTCCCCCTCTGACTTACTCCCCTTCATTCTTCCTCTCCTGCTATCTTCTTCTTTTTCTTTTTTCTTAAAACATGTTGCGTTATTTGTTTCAGAAGTACAGATCTGTGATTCAACAGTCTTGCACAGTTCACAGCGCTCACCATAGCACATACCCTCCCCAATGTCCATCACCCAGCCACCCCATCCCTCCCACCCCCAACCACTCCAGTAACACTCAGTTTGTTCCTGAGATTAAGAATTCCTCATATCAGTGAGGTCATATGATACATGTCTTTCTCTGATTGACTTATTTCACTAAACATAACACCCTCCAGTTCCATCCACGTCGTTGCAAATGGCAAGATCTCATTCCTTTTGATGGCTGCATAATATTCCATTGTGTATATATACCACTTCTTTATCCATTCATCTGTCGATGGACATCTTGGCTCTTTCCACAGTTTGGCTATTGTGGACATTGCTGCTATAAACATTGGGGTGCACGTACCCCTTCGGGTCCCTACATTTGTATCTTTGGGGTAAATACCCAGTAGTGCAATTGCTGGATTGAATGGTAGCTCTAATTTCAACTGTTTGAGGAACCTCCATACTGTTTTCCAGAGTGGTTGCACCAGCTTGCATTCCCACCAACAGTGTAGGAGGGTTCCCCTTTCTCCACATCCCCGCCAACATCTGTCGTTCCCTGACTTGTCAATTTTAGCCATTCTGACTGGTGTGAGGTGGTATCTCATTGAGGTTTTGATTTGGATTTCCCTGATGCCGAGCGATGTTGAGCACTTTTTCATGTGCCTGTTGGCCATTTGGATGTCTGCTTTGGAAAAATGTCTGTTCATGTTTTCTGCCCATTTCTTGATTGGATTATTTGTTCTTAGGGTGTTGAGTTTGATAAGTTCTTTATAGATTTTGGATACTAGCCCTTTATCTGATATGTCATTTGCAAATATTTTCTCCCATTCTGTCGGTTGTCTTTTGGTTTTGTGGACTGTTTCTTTTGCTGTGCAAAAGCTTTTTATCTTGATGAAATCCCAATAGTTCATTTTTGCCCTGGCTTCCTGTGCCTTTGGTGATGTTTCTAGGAAGAAGTTGCTGCGGCTGAGGTCGAAGAGGTTGTTACCTGTGTTCTCCTTTAGGATTTTGATGGACTCCTGTCTCACGTTTAGGTCTTTCAACCATTTGGAGTCTATTTTTGTGTGTGGTGTAAGGAAATGGTCCAGTTTCATTCTTCTGCATGTGGCTGTCCAATTTTCCCAACACCATTTGTTGAAGAGACTGTCTTTTTGCCATTGGACATTCTTTCCTGCTTTGTCAAAGATGAGTTGACCATAGAGTTGAGGGTCCATTTCTGGGCTCTCGATTCTGTTCCATTGATCTATGTGTCTGTTTTTGTGCCAGTATCATACTGTCTTGATGATGACAGCTTTGTAATAGAGCTGGAAGTCCGGAATTGTGATGCCGCCAGCTTTGCTTTTCTTTTTCAATATTCCTCTGGCTATTCGGGGTCTCTTCTGGTTCCATACAAATTTTAGGATTATTTGTTCCATTTCTTTGAAAAAAGTGGATGGTATTTTGATGGGGATTGCATTGAATGTGTAAATTGCTCTAGGTAGCACTGACATCTTCACAATGTTGGTTCTCCCAATCCATGAGCATGGAACGTTTTTCCATTTCTTTGTGTCTTCTTCAATTTCTTTCCTGAGTATTGTATAGTTTTCTGAGTACCGATCCTTTGCCTCTTTGGTTAAATTTATTCCTAGGTATCTTATGGTTTTGGGTGCAATTGTGAATGGGATCGACTCCTTGATTTGTCTCTCTTCTGTCTTGTTGGTGTATAGGAATGCCACTGATTTCTGTGCATTGATTTTATAGCCTGCTACTTGACTGAATTCCTGTATGAGTTCTAGCAGTTTTGGGGTGGAGTCTTTTGGGTTTTCCACATACAGTATCATATCATCTGCAAAGAGTGAGAGTTTGACTTCCTCTTTGCCGATTTGGATGCCTTTGATTTCTTTTTGTTGTCTGATTGCTGCAGCTAGAACTTCCAATACTATGTTGAATAGCAGTGGTGAGAGTGGACATCCCTGCCGCGTTCCTGACCTTAGGGGAAAAGCTCTCAGCTTTTCCCCATTGAGAATGATATTTGCTGTAGGTTTTTCGTAGATGGCTTTTATGATATTGAGGGATGTACCCTCTATCCCTATACTCTGAAGAGTTTTGATCAAGAAAGGATGCTGTACTTTGTCAGATGCTTTTTCTGCATCTATTGAGAGGATCATTTGATTCTTGTTCTTTCTTTTGTTAATGTATTGTATCACGTTGATTGATTTGCGGATGTTGAACCAGCCTTGCAGCCCAGGGATAAATCCCACTTGGTCGTGGTGAATAATCCTTTTGGTGTACTGTTGGATCCTATTGGCTAGGATTTTGGTGAGAATTTTTGCATCCATGTTCATCAAGGATATTGGTCTGTAATTCTC